TGATCAATTCTGGAAATTGGTCTTTTATGGCAGCAAATAAAAGGAAGGGTTTGACTTGCAACGAAAAGATAAAACTATAGTTGTTATTATTATTTTTTTATCTCACCTTCAGTCTGCTGTTCAACCCATTGGTTAATTTCCTTTTTTGCTTTGTCTGGAGCATTCGAGAAGTCCACTGTGGATAATTCAGCTCCATACAAATTCTGGGTGCTAGTCAAGAAATCCTAGCAAAATAAGACATATAATATTTATAATTTGTAAAATAAATATAATTATTATGGATAGCAGGAGGAGAAGAATGTACATTTAATAAATAATAAATACTAAGATTTATCATCTCCAATCAATCAGAGATCCAATTAATCTCCCTGTTCCTACTTGGCAGCCTTTGCCTTCATCAGTCATGCTGTAGAATTTTCTAACTGCATTTAAGCAAGCACTCATAATAACATAATGAAGACATGTCTCTTTCTAAAAGGCTGACGTAGTCTGTGTTGAAATTTTCCAATTCACTGTCATGATAACCAAGTTTAGGCTGAAAAACACAACTAGCCCAAAGAGAAAAAGTGGACTATTCTGAGTGAGATCTTAAATCTAGACCTCCCTGCTCTTCTTCAGTACTTGAACCATGATACGGGATTAAACATCATGTGTTTGTGTTTCGATTGAAATGTAACCTGAACGGAATGGTCTTTGAAGAAAGTTTATTCTTCTGAAAAGAGATGATATTATACATATAATTTGTAATTTAATTGGAAAATCTGGATCTATCTTATAAAGTGAGCTGCAATAGTTCTACATCTCACAAGAAAGATGTCTGTAAGTGGATAAAAGAGAGAAAAAGAATGAACCTATAAATCTTCATATTTCATAGCTGGGATGGAATGTGCACCTGGAGAAGCAATGGTGGGGGGGGGAGGAAATTTTAGCAAAACACAGTGTTTTCCCAGAGACACACTGAGATTAAGTGGCTGTGCAGTCCCAAATGGAGGAGAGAGGGGGGAAGAGGTTCAGGGTAGCCACACCCTGCAATCTCTCAGGATATAGTAGGTTAGATGGTCATAAACTCCATTTGGCAAGATTCTGTCCATTACGTATAAGAAAATGAGTGACTGGATGTGATTGGCTCTTACTGTATCATCTTTGGACTGGGCTGACCATAGCAGTCCTAATTAAGAGAGATTAAAGATTCCCTTAAAGCAAAGGATAACTGTATTGATGAATATCATAGTCTAATAAAATTTGAAAATGATCTATAAAGCCATTCTGATGGTCCATTTATTATTGATGTTTATTTATTTAGCAATCTACTTACAGACAAAAAGTTGAAAGTTTTTTCTCCATACAATCTATTAGCAAGTTTCAGAATGTAGGGTGCATTGCTCCAGTTAATTTTAGTATTGAGTGTGTGAAATACTGAATGAAGATCTTCAACACCATCAAAATGAAATGTCTGCATGGAACAGATAAATCCTACTTTAATACCAATAAGAACAGTGAAATTAGGGTTACTGCAAAAATAATTTTGTCTAAGAACAATGGAGACATTTCAGAAATCTACAGACTCACAGGTAGAAAGCATACATAAACAAACAAACAGTACAATGGACTATTCTTTGCAAACTTAGGTTTCATCTTAATAGAGGCACATACATATGATTAATACGATGGGCTATACATTTACAAGGAAAAATTGGGGATTTATCAAAGCCTGAATGCGTTTTCTATATATTCTGTCGGAGGAAATAACAAAATAGGTTAGGGTATCAGTTACAGAATCTATTTAGACTATGTGCCAATTATGGCACAAAACTAATGGGAACGGATAAGGAAAAAGTTGAACGTTAGTCTGATTTTCATAAGAAATGGTTTTTTTGAGAAAACATAGCAAGAGAGTAGAGAATGTTTCCTTTGAATGCCATGGAGAACATCAGAACATTAATTTTCAGTTTTGTTCTTACATCCTTATTCCATACAGGTTGGACAACTATATGTGGAAAATCTAAACTAAAAACTTTCTCACAAAGTCAGACTGTCAGTTAAGAACCTCTGGTCAATACCCACCTTTAGTGATAGAAAATTGGAATGTTCTCTCTCTCTCTCTCTCTCTCTCTCTCTCTCTCTCTCTCTCTCTCTCACACACACACACACACACACACTTATTCTGTTGAAAATTGTTTATTCAGCAGAACATGATTCATCACATTAACATGATTCATCAAGTTAAATCCAAACATAACTTCCCTCTACTAGAGACGGTCTTTCCAATACGCAGCACTTAAAATTCAACTCTCCTTACAAAAGAGCCGCATTTCCTCATATGAGCAGCCATACTAACGTGTCAGAAAAACACCTGCTGACCTTCAAGAGTTCCGAGGCTGTGTTACCGCGGGCCCCTAAGGCGACCATGGCCAGGGCGGACGATACACTGAGCGGAGAAAAGAAAACGTTGCCGGTTGGGTGGGCTTCCGTCAATTTTTGGAAAAGATCCAGAGCAAACTGCGAGTTTGCATTAGCCAGTTTATCCATAGCGACGAAGGGAAAGCTTGAAAACAAGGAAAAAGAAAAAAGAAAGGAAATTATTTCTGAAGCACCTTTAAAATTATAGCACCGATGCCGAGCAACAACGACGGGAGAGGAAGCACAAGCTTGAAACGCCTGAAATCCCACCCTTACGAGAGAAGACCAGCGGCGATGCTTGGATGCGTAGAGAGCCACTCCCGCGCAGATCTCCGGTCCTGACGTTGCGAGGAAGGGAGCGCCGGGACGATCACTGGAGCCGGTGAGGCGGTAGCGCCCTCGGACTTTGCCCTTCACCGGCTGGCAGGGGAAGAGATCTGAACCAAGCAGGTTTCCACAGTTGGAAGGCGTGAGAAGAGCGTCAGCAGGAGGAAAAGTTGGGCTGCCCTCAATTTGCTACGCCCTAAGGGAGGGCTTCCCACACACGCACTTAGCCCACCGGCCCAAGCTGCAGAAGCTCGCTGGCATTACTTCTTTGTATTTGTTGTGCATCAATTTTCTTCTTATATCCTTATTCCCTACAGGTTGGACAACTCTACGTGGAAAAGGTAAACCAAGGGTTTTCAAACTTTCTCATAGAGTATAATCGAGGGCTACCTTGCCTCTTTAATTGTCCCTTTCTTTTTGTTCCATAGGTCTTACTGGCGCAGGGTGTCGTCTATTTCGCCAGAGCACCAAAGTCTGTTGAAGTGTACAGCGCTTACAGTCATGTGAAATCATGCCTAAGAGACCACCAAGGACCACTTCCGCCTGTGCCTTTGCATTTGAGGAATGCACCAACCAAGCTCATGGAAAAGGTTATATGGTAAAGGTTATAAATACAATCCTATGTACAAGAATCCTGTAGAACAAGAATATCTGCCTGAAGAGTTGAAAGGGATCGATTTTTTCACACTAAGCAAACTTTGATGAAACACCCTATATTGTCACACATGATTCATAATAATCCTGTAACATTTTTTTGAAAGCTCATTTCAGTTTTAAGAAAAAAGTATTTTTCCGGGCTAGCCATATTTAACTGGTAGCCTCAAACTGGGATGCCTACGTTTTTGTATTCAAAAATATGTATGTTAATTCAATCATCTTTGGTGCAAATGAAACGATTTTGTGGATATTCTACTGTTCCAATTTGAGGCAAAAAGCTGCTCAGCACAGATATAGATATACACATTAATGTTGTCAGAGATTCCTTTAAGAAACTACACCTTTTGTACACTACTTGTGTAGTCAGATGAAAATATGTGTTCTATTTAAGGAACTGCTCCTTTTCCACTTGAAGTCCAAATAGCTGCACATTCCTAAACCATTTTATACTACAAAGAATATTTTATTGCATGCTTTATGCAAAATGTAAGAATTGTTTGATAACCTTGGATAAAATACATATTATATAGATAAAGAACAACTAAAATCACTTGATTTATCAAGGATATAAATAGGGCATTATTTTAAAAATATAAATAATAAGAATTGCCCAGCTTAGCTAATATTACGCTTTTTCAATGGGACTGATGCAAGGATATATTTAATATAATCCATAGAATTTAGAAAGGCCTAATTTTAACTTTTGGCCTTGATTGTAGCTTGATTTATTCCAGTGTGTAAATAAATACTGCATTTGCACCTTAAAGTGAAAAAAAAAAATCCTTAGAATTGAACTGTAACTTGAGAAATTTTGCAACTGAAAATAAAGTTAATTTAAAATCCATCATTGTTTCCATTTTGCTGTGCAGTCTTATACTGTGTTCCTGTGATTTTGTTTTGTTGGCCCAGAGCTCCATCTGTAGATAGCCCTGGAAACAGAGAAGGACCAGTCCACGGTTCCTCTGCCAGTGAAAACAGAGCTCAGGAGGCCTGCAGGCAGCCCTTCTGAGCTCTGTTTTTCCTTGCCGAGGGTTGCAGGAAACCTTCACAGCATAAAATAGAGCTCAGGAGCCTGTTTTTACTGACAGAGCACTGACAGGCCAGCACAGGTACTTCCGACAAGAGTGATGTCAAGCTGGCCACACCCACCCTGGCCTTGCCCCCCTCCCCCGAGGTCAATCACAATCCTAATGTGGCCCTCAATGAAATCGAGTTTGACACCCCTGCTCTAAATCATCTAGGTAACATGAATTAAATTGAATTGTAGAAGTACCAACCCCTCCATTAGAATGTCATTAGAATGTCTTTATTTCACACTTTTCTTCAATAGAATGAATGACTGAAGGACGGACAACAATATATAGTTCAGATTTACTGAGGAGAAAGAACGTGGATAAGAAATATCAAAAAAATTGTAAAATGTGGTCACTAGTGATTCATATGTGAACAATTCGGCATTTACTGAAAGATAAGAAAAGTTGTACCAGAATTCCTCATAAGATACTTACTAAGACAAGTACCAAATTGTTTTGTATTTTTAAGAACAAAAAAGAAGACACTTTCTGGATTCCATATTATCAATGATTTTCAAGGACAAAGGACCAAAGACTCTTACATTATATTGAATGAAGGCCAACTTTATTTCAGTAATTCATGTGTTATTTCTTTTACAAATACATTGCAGAGTAGCTTCCCCCTGCCTGGTGGCTTCCAAACAGCTCAAACTACAATTCCCAGAATTCCTAACTAAATGGAAATTAAAGGAACTCCAGTCAAACAAACCTTGAATGTCCTAGATTAGAGATGGCTACTGTTAAATTGGGTGAATGAGGACGCAGCAAGCCAGGCAGCGAGTGACAACAGCTCTTTATTGTAGGGTGAGAACCCAGCCACTGACCAGGGGAAACAGCTTCCTTTATATACCTTGCAGCTGTGGTGGTCAGCCAATCAGCTGACGGTCAGTTAATTCAAACTGCCTGCCCAAAATCTACATACATAACAGCTACCCTTTAGAACAAAGTGTCACATAAAACCTGTTAACAGGCTCAGGTGTTCAAGAAAATCAAAAATGGAATATATCTGGAGGAACCCAACTTGTTCAATTCCCCCAAGCAGGCAGAGAAACAAGTATTTGCTAGGACGCTGGAAGTTGGTTTTATGACTTACGATACTCTTTATGGAGAAGCAAATCTACCAAGGAAAAGTATCGTGTTTGTTGGATTATGACGGATAAAAAATAAGAAAGGATGGTCAGCATTAAAATTCTTCTCCACGGGCCGAGAATTAGCCATAATTGTAGCAGTAGCAGCTGCTGCTTCAGTGCCCACTTCATTTACTTCTAGAAAGGACTTGTGAACAATTTTGGACACATGGAGATTCTGAGCTGGTGACATTCCAGACAAATCAGCCTTGCCCTTGTCAAACACATCTACTAGCCCCAATGCTACAAAGTAAGGTTTAAGATCATAGTTTTCTTCCAGCTGAAATTTAGGTAGATGTACATTGACGTCCACGCTGGAGTTCATATTTTTGGACTGGGTCCATTCTTGCAGTTTTTCCAAAGTAAGCTGCTTCTCCAGCTAAAAAGGCAAAGAAAGAAAAGTAATTATTTGCATCACTGTGGCACAATATTTCCATTTCAGCACAGAAAAATATGTTGCTGAAAAACAGGACATCACTGACTTCAGTATGAATTAATCTGCAGTGCCAGAGAGCACATTTCTCTACCCCAGACATGGTCTTTGCCTAACTGAGTGCAAAATGGTTTCTTCCTCATGCTAAACTATTTGCAGCTTTAACAGATGTTCAGATGGGAAAAAAAAATAATGCAGAGTTTATAGCATAAACATTATTAGAAGTAAACATGGATTTTTTAAAAAGTATTTTCAGGCAAAACCATGGTTGTCCTATCCAAACGTAATATAAAAAGTGTTTTAAAGATACCTTACCGTTTACTATTTAAGATACTATTTAAATCTAACCCAGATCTAATCTATTTTCAATTCTTTCACTTCAGATGATTAGGGATTCATAATGTCTGGGACAAAAAGGCAGAGAACTCTTGAAGATTTTCTGGAGGCCCCCAGAATAAGGCAGCCTGTCTTCAGAACCCCACTGTGGAGCTACTCAATGCATCACATAAACCACAACTTTGTCTACGCGCATGGGTGATCCTTCCAAGTATTCATGTTGTATTTAAAATAATTTAGTTTAGGACAAGAATTTTACAGCAGTAGCAAGAAACAATAGAATCACCTGTTCCAGGCCTGTGGAATTATCCTCAATGCTGTCAGGCAAAAGGATGATCATGCTAAGATCCTCTCCCTTGTATGGCAGTTCCAACACACGACACTTGCATTCAGAGATATAACCAATGGGAAGCTTCTCTTTCATAAACATCATCTTCACATGCTTCTTTTCTCTCTGCATTATATTAAGAATATCAAGTGACGAGCTTATTAAACAACGAAGAAATAAAGATTCTGTATGCATATGCTGAAGATGACAGAACTAGTTCTGGGAAGTGGATCTTTGTAAAACTCTATTAATATATAGCTGTTCTTTGGAATTATACAACTCTATTAAGCTAAATGAAATTCATTTCCAGGTAAGGATAAACAGGACACAAAACCAATTTAAAAATTAAACCAAGGAAAAAAAACATACCTATAGTATAAAAATATAAAAGTTGCTTTATTGTTTTCCTTTATGTATTAGAGTAAATAGACAAATAATTTCAGTAAAGTATTTCAGAATGGAATTAGATTTAATTTATACGAAAGTTGAGGTTTGTAAGTAGTGATTAGGCTCAAAGGAACTGATATAAGGCTTCAAAAACATGACTACGGATAAGTTAGGATTATGTTTTCAGCGCTATGATAAAAGCTTGATGATCTTCATGTGACTGCTTATTGCTACACCTGCCTAAAGAACAAGTTGTTACAGAAGACAGACAAAATAATCATTTACCTTATTTAGTTTAAAAGGCTTGTCTTCAGTATCTTTTTCTTTAAATGCCTTTGCCCAGTTGCCTTTAAAGTAGACAGCATTCACCAAAACCAATATAGTCATTTCATCGATGGATCCTTCAGATAACAACTTTGGGATTTTACCTTGATGGAGAAATTTCACTTTTAATTAGCTGTACAAAGAACTGAGACTTAAATAATATTATCAATGAGACTAATGTAAACACACTTGTTAAATGTATTTGCAATTATCTTGTAAATATTTTTGTTTTTTTTAAAAATCATGAATTAGCAAAAGGTGTTGTACAGTAAATGGCATTGACTGGCCATTTCTGTCATGTGCTTACGGTGCCACATCTCCAGAATCAATCAATCAATCAAAATAGAGCTGGAAGGGACCTTGGAGGCCTTCTAGTCCAACCCCCTGCTCAATCTTGGGACCCTATAGCATTTCAGACAAATGACTGTCCAGTCTCTTCTTAAAACCCTCCAGTGATGAAGCAGCTACAACTTCTGAAGGGAAGCTGTTCCACTAGTTAACTGTCCTCACTGTTAGGAAGTTTCTCCTTAGTTCAAGGTTGCTTCTCTCCTTTATTAGTTTCCATCCATTGTTTCTTGTCTTGCCCGCTGGTGCTTTGGTAAATAAGTTGACCCTCTCCTCTTTGTGGCAACCTCTCACAATACTGGAATACTGCTATTAATGGAACACTGCTAATACTGGAATACTAGCCAAACCCAAAATAACCCCAATTTAAAATAAATTCCTCTTTTTAATCAATATATTAGTCAAAACATTCAGCGTTTTTAATATTCATTTGCTGAGGTAACATCAGCCCCAACACTCCTGGCCTTCTGGAAGAGTCTTAAAATCGGACTCTGCTAGCTGGTCTGGAGCCCCAACAGGAGGTTCTATGCTGTGGGGTGGCTGATGGGAAAGAGAGAAGAACCCCATTCTCTTGTCTCCTGTCTTATTGGTTTTTGGTCTATTTATTCTTTCTAAATTTTAATTATTTTGTATTCTCTTTCTCTTTTTATCATTTTATAAGATCCCCAAAGTCACTTAAAAAGTGAGATAAGCAGCATATAAATTTAATTAATAAAATAAAAGAATGTGAGTTGCATTAAGCAGACCCATTAATATGTAATGTCCACTGTCTAAGTCTCTCTCGGGAAATACTCAAAGGGCAAGGACAATGTGGAACTTCCATTTATTGTGTCCTGTGTATCTGTGGGTTGTTCCCAAACTTGTGTTTTATCACACTTCTTATGCCGGCCCAAAATACCTTTTATCAAGATACATGTTGCTATCTAGATCCCTGATTAACCACTACACAAAAAGAACCCATTCTGTAAGATTAACTGTTCCAAACTATTATTTTGCTTTCTCTTTGATCAATTCTGGAAATTGGTCTTTTATGGCAGCAGATAAAAGTAAGGGTTTGACTTACAACGAAAAGATAAAACTATAGTTGTTAAATTTTTTTAAAATCTCACCTTCAGTCTGCTGTTCAACCCATTGGTTAATTTCCTTTTTTGCCTTGTCTGGAGCATTCAAGAAATCCACTGTGGATAATTCAGCTCCATACAAATTCTGGGTGCTAGTCAAGAAATCCTATGAAAATGAGACATAATATTTATAAATTATACAATTATACAATAAATATAATTATTATGGATAGCAAGCAGGGAAGCATTTATATTTAATAAATAATAATAATTATCATCTCCGATTAATTACTTTCCCTGTTCCTACTTGTCAGCCTTTGCCTTCATCAGTCATGCTGTAGAATTTTCTAACTGCATTTAAGCAAGTACTCATAATAGCATAATGAAGACATGTCTTTTTCTAAAAGGCTGACATAGTCTGTGTTGAAATTTTCCAATTCACTGTGATGATAACCATTTTTAGGCTGAAAAACACAACTAGCCCGAAGAAAAAAAGTGGACACAAGAAAGATGGCTGTATGTGGATGAAAGAGAGAAAAAGAATGAACCTATAAATCTGCATATTTCATAGCTGGGATGGAATGTGCACCTGGAGAAGCAATAGGGGGTGGGGGTAAGAAATTTTAGCAAAGCACAATGTTTTGCCAGAGAGGCACCCAGATTACGTGGCTGTGCAGTCCCAAATGGAGGAGGGAGAGGGAAAAGGTCCAGGGTAGCCATACCTTGGAATCTCTCAGGATATAGTAGGTTAGATGGTTACAAGCTCCATTTGCAAGATTCTGTCCATTAGGTATAAGAAAATGAATGACTGGATGTGGTTAGGTTTCACTCAGTGGTGAAATCCAATTTTTTTTTTACTATTGGTTCTGTGTGCGTGGCTTGGTGGGTGTAGTGTGGCTTGGTGGGCATGGCTTGGTTGGCTGGCAGGGGAAGGATACTGCAAAATCTCCATTCCCACCATACTCCAGGGGAAGGATACTGCAAAATCCCCATTCCCTCCCACTCCTGGGGGAAAGATATTGCAAAATCTCCTTTCCCACCCGACTCCGGGCCAGCCAGAGGTGGTATTTGTTGGTTCTCCAAACTACTCAAAATTTCCACTACTGGTTCTCCTGAACCTGTCAGAACCTGCTGGATTTCATCCCTGATCTCACTGTATCATCTTTGGGCTGGGCTGACCATAGCAGTCCTAATTAAGAGAGATTAAAGATTCTCTTAAAGCAAAGGATAACTGGATTGATGAATATCATAGTCTAATAAAATTTGAAATTGATCTATAAAGCCATTCTGATGGTCCATTAATTATTGATATTTATTTATTTAGCAATCTACTTACAGACAAAAAGTTGAAATTTTTTTCTCCATACAATCTATTAGCAAGTTTCAGAACGTAGAGTGCATTGCTCCGGTTAATTTTAGTATTGAGCGTGTGAAATACTGAATGAAGATCTTCAACTCCATCAAAATGAAATGTCTGCATGGAAAAGATAAATCCTACTTTAATACGAATAAGAACAGCGAAATTAGGGTTAAGGCAAAAATAATTTTGTCTACGAACAATGGAGACGTTTCAGTAATCTACAGACTCACAGGTAGAAAGCATACACAAACAAACAGTACGATGGACCATTCTTTGCAAACTTAGGTGTCATCCTAATAGAGGCGCATACAATATCTAAGATTAATACAATGGGTTATATATATATATATATACAAGGAAAAATTGGGGATTTATCAAAGCCTGAATGCGTTTTCTATATATTCTGTCGGGGAAATAACAAAATAGGTTGTTTTATTCAAAATTACCTTAGGGTATCAGTTACAGAATCTATCTAGACTATGTGCCAATTATGGCACAAAACTAATGGGAACGGATAAGGAAAAAGTTGAACGTTAGTCTGATTTTCATAAGAAATGGTTTTTTGAGAAAACATAGCAAGAGAGTAGAGAATGTTTCCTTTGAATGCCATGGAGAACACCAGAACATTAATTTTCAGTTTTGTTCTTACATCCTTATTGCATACAGGTTGGACAACTGTATGTGGAAAATCTAAACTAAGGGTTTTCAAACTTTCTCACAAAGTCAGACCTGTCAGTTAAGAACCTCTGGTCAATACGCCAACTTTAGTGATAGAAAATTGGAGTGTTCTCTCTCTCTCTCTCTCTCTCTCTCTCTCTCTCTCTCCACACACACACACACCCTTATTCTGTTGAAAATTGTTTATTCAGCAGAACATGATTCATCACATTAACATGATTCATCAAGTTAAATCCAAACATAACTTCCCTCTACTAGAGACGGTCTTTCCAATATACATTTCCTCATATTAGCAGCCATACTAACGTGTCAGAAAAATACCTGCTGACCTTCAGGAGTTCCGAGGCTGTGTTACCGCGGGCCCCTAAGGCGACCATGGCCAGGGCGGACGATACACTGAGCGGAGAAAAGAAAACGTTGCCGGTTGGGTGGGCTTCCGTCAACTTTTGGAAAAGATCCAGAGCAAACTGCGAGTTTGCATTAGCCAGTTTATCCATAGCGACGAAGGGAAAGCTTGAAAACAAGGAAAAAGGAAAAAGAAAGGAAATTATTTCTGAAGCACCTTTAAAATTATAGCACCGATGCCGAGCAACAACGACGGGAGAGGAAGCACAAGCTTGAAACGCCTGAAATCCCACCCTTACGAGAGAAGACCAGCGGCGATGCTTGGATGCGTAGAGAGCCACTCCCGCGCAGATCTCCGGTCCTGACGTTGCGAGGAAGGGAGCGCCGGGACGATCACTGGAGCCGGTGAGGCGGTAGCGCCCTCGGACTTTGCCCTTCACCGGCTGGCAGAGGAAGAGATCTGAACCAAGCAGGTTTCCACAGTTGGAAGGCGTGAGAAGAGCGTCAGCAGGAGGAAAAGTTGGGCTGCCCTCAATTTGCTACGCCCTAAGGGAGGGCTTCCCACACACGCACTTAGCCCACCGGCCCCAGCTGCAGAAGCTCGCCGGCATTACTTCTTTGTATTTGTTGTGCATCAATTTTCTTCTTATATCCTTATTCCCTACAGGTTGGACAACTATACGTGGAAAAAGGTAAACCAAAGGTTTTCAAACTTTCTCATAGAGTATAATCGAGGGCTACCTGCAGTACATCTCCCTTGCTTCTTTAATTGTCCCTTTCTTTTTGTTCCATAGGTCTTACTGGCGCAGGGTGTCATCTATTTCGCCAGAGCACCAAAGTCTATTGAAGTGTACAGTGCTTACAGTAATGTGAAATCATGCCTAAGAGACCACCTAGGACCACTTCCACCTGTGCCTTTGCATTTGTGGAATGCACCAACCAAGCTCATGAAAAATTTAGGTTATGGTAAAGGTTATAAATACAATCCTATGTACAAGAATCCTGTAGAACAAGAATATCTGCCTGAAGAGTTGAAAGGGATCGATTTTTTCACACTAAGCAAACTTTGATGAAACACCCTATATTGTCACACATGATTCATAATAATCCTGTAACATTTTTTTGAAAGCTCATTTCAGTTTTAAGAAAAAAGTATTTTTCCGGGCCAGCCATATTTAACTGGTAGCCTCAAACTGGGATGCCTACGTTTTTATATTCAAAAATATGTATGTTAATTCAATCATCTTTGGTGTAAATGAAACGATTTTGTGGATATTCTACTGTTCCAATTTGAGCAAAAAGCTGCTCAGCACAGATATAGACATACACATTAATGTTGTCAGAGATTCCTTTAAGAAACTACACCTTTTCTACACTACTTGTGTAGTCAGATGAAAATATGTGTTCTATTTAAGGAACTGCTCCTTTTCCACTTGACGTCCAAATAGCTGCACATTCCTAAACCATTTTATACTACAAAGAATATTTTATTGCATGCTTTATGCAAAATGTAAGAATTGTTTGATAACCTTGGATAAAATACATATTATATAGGTAAAGAACAACTAAAATCACTTGATTTATCAAGGATATAAATAGGGCATTATTTTAAAAATATAAAAAATAAGAATTGCCCAGCTAAGCTAATATCAGGCTTTTTCAATGGGACTGATGCAAGGATATATTTAATATAATCCATAGAATTTAGAAAGGCCTAATTTTGACTTGTGTCCTTGATTAGAGCTTGATTTATTCCAGTCTGTAAAGAAATACTGCATTTGCACCTTAAAGCGGGAAAAAAAATCCTTAGAGTTGAACTGTAACTTGAGAAATTTTGCAACTGAAAATAAAGTTAATTTAAAATCCATCACTGTCTCCATTTTGCTAAAAGACTTGTTATAATATTGTAAGTACTCTGTTGTTTGCTGTGCAGTCTTATACTGTGTTCCTGAGATTTCCTTTCGTTGGCCCAGAGCTCCATCTGTAGATAGCCCTGGAAACAGCGAAGGACCAGTCCACAGAAAACGGAGCTCAGGAGGGCTGCAAGCTCTGTTTTTGCTGGCTGACGGTTGCAGGAAACCGTCACAGCATAAAAGAGAGCTCAGGGGCCCATTTTCACTGGCAGAGCATTCAGGCTACCACAGGCACCCTGACACGAGTGATGTCAAGCTGGCCACACCTACCCTGACATTGCCCCCCTCCCCCAAGGTCAAACACAATCCTGATGCGGCCCTCAATGAAATCGAGTTTGACACCCCTGCTCTAAATCATCCAGGTAACATGAATTAAATTGAATTGTAGAAGTAACAACCCCTTCATTAGAATGTCATTAGAATTTCTTTATTTCACACTTGCCTTCAATAGAATGAATGCCTGAAGGATGGACAACAATATATAGTTTGGGTTTACTGAGGAGAAAGAATGTGGACAAAAAATATCAAAAAAATGTAGAATGAGGTTACTAATGATTCATATGTGAGCATTTCTGCATTTACTGAATGATAAGAAGAGTTGTACCAGAATTCCTCATAAGATACTTACTAAGACAAGTGCCAAATTGTTTTGTATTTTTAAGGACAAAAAAGAAGATACTTTCTGGATTCTATATTATCAATGATTTTCAAGGACAAAGTAGTCTGGACCAAAGACACTTACTTACGTTGAATGAAAGCCAATTTTATTCCAGTAATTCATGTGTTATTCATTTAACAAATACAATGCACAGTAGCTTCCCTTTGCCTGGTGGCTTCCAAACAGCTCAAACTACAATTCCCAGAATTCCTAGCTAGTTGGAAATTAAAGGAACTCTAGTCAAACACACCTTGAATGTCCTAGATTAGAGATGGCTACTCTTTTGAAGAAAGTGTCACATAAAACCTGTTAACAGACTCAGGAATTCAAGAAAATCAAAGATGGAAAATATTTGGATGAACCTAACTTGTTCAATTCCCCCAAGCAGGCAGAGAAACAAGTATTTGCTAGGACACTGGAAGTTGGTTTTATGACTTACGATACTTTTTTTTTTAATTTTAAAAAACAAACTTTATTAAACATATAAAAACAAAATAATACACCATATATATACAAAACACATTTATGTCAATATAAACAACTCTACCTAAAAAGAAACAGTGATTCACATATTTGTTATCTTCTTGACGGTGCATTTTTTTTTCTTATCATTCAGAATTTTGCATTTGCTCTCATTTCTCCTAATAAACTCTTTATGGAGAAGCAAATCTACCAAGGAAAAGTATAGTGTTTGTTGGATTATGACGGATAAAAAATAGGAAAGGATGGTCAGCCTTAAAATTCTTCTCCATGGGCCGACAATAAGCCACAACTGTACAAGCCGTAGCTGCTGCTGCTTCAGTGCCCACTTCATTTACTTCTAGAAAGGACTTGTGAACAATTTTAGACACATGGAGATCCTGAGCTCTTGACATTCCAGACAAATCAGCCTTGCCACTGTCAAACACATCTACTAGCCCCAATGCTGCAAAGTAAGATTTAAGGTCATAGTTTTCTTCCAGCTGAAATTTAGGTAGATGTACATAGACGTCCACGCTGGAGTTCATATTTTTGGGCTGGTTCCATTCTTGTAGTTTTTCCAAGGTAAGCTGCTGCTCCAGCTAAAGTGGCAAAGAAAGACAAGTAATTATTTGCATTACTGTGCCACAATATTTCCGTTTCAGCACAGAGAAATATGTTGCTGAAAAACAGGATATCACTGACTTCAGTATGAATTAATCTGCAGGGCCAGAGAGCACATTTCTCATGCTAAACTATTTACAGCTTTAACAGATGTTCAGATGGAAAAAAAATAATGCAGAGTGTATAGCATAAACATTATTAGAAATAAACATAGATTTTTTTAAAAGTAGTTTCAGGCAAAACCATGGTTGTCCTATCCAAACGTAATATAAAAAGCATTTGTTTTATAGATACCTTAGCGTTTACTATTTAAAATACTATTTAAATCTAATCCAAATCTAATCTGTTTTCAATTCTTTCACCCAAGATGATTAGGGATTAATAGTGCCTGAGAGAGAACTCTTGAAGATTTTCTGGAGGCCCCCAGAATAAGGCAGGCTGTCTTCAGAACCCCACTGTGGAGCTACTCAATGCATCACATAAACCACAACTTTGTCTACACGCATGGGTGATCCTACCAAGTGTTCATGTCGTACTTAGAATAATTTTGTTTAGGACAATAATTTTACAGCAGTAGCAAGAAACAATAGAATCACCTGTTCCAGGCCTGTGGAATTATCCTCAATGCTGTCAGGCAAAAGGATGATCATGCTAAGATCCTCTCCTTTGTATGGGAGTTCCAGCACTTGACACTTGCATTCAGGGATATAACCAATGGGAAGCTTCTCTTTCATAAACATCATCTTCACATTCTTCTTTTCTCTCTGCATTATATTAAGAATATTACAGTGAGGAGTCTATCAAACAACAAAGAAATAAAGATTCTGTATGTATATGCTGAAGTTGATAGAACTAGTTCTGGGAAGTGGATCTTTGCAAAACTGTATTAATATATAGCTGTTCTTTGGAATCATACAACTCTTTTAAACTAAATGAAATTCATTTCCAGGTAAGGATAAACAGAACATCTAACCAACTTATAAAATAAATCAAGGGAAAAACCTACCTATAGTATTAAAATAAATAAAAACTGCTTTATTGCTTTCCTTTGTGTATTAGAGCAAATAGACAGGTGACCCACTAATTTCAGTAAAGTATTTCAGAATGGAACTAGGTTTAACTTATGGGAAAGCTGAGATTTGTAACTAGAGATTAGGCTCAAAGGAACTGACATAAGGCTTCAAAAACATGACTACAGATAAATTAGAATTATGTTTTCAGCGCTATCATAAGAGCTTGATGATGCTTCATGCGATTGCTTATTGCTACACCTGCCTAAACAACAAGCTGTTGTTACAGAAGATAGACCAAAATAATAATCCTTTACCTTATTTAATCTAAAAGGCTTGTCTTCAGTATTTTTTTCTTTAAATGCCTTTGCCCAGTTGCCTTTAAAGTAGACAGCATTCACCAAAATCAATTTAGTCATTAGATTGATTGATCCTTCAGATAACAACTCTGGGATTTTACCTTGATGGAGAAATTTCACTGTTAATTAGCTGTGCCAGGAATTGAGGCCTAAATAATATCACCAGATCAATGAGACTAATAGAAAATGCACTTTTCTATTCTTATTTTGTTAAATGTACATTTCTGCTCAGCAATTATTCTCAACTTGCTAACTGGATCTCTTATTAAACAGTATACAAAAAGAACCCATTCTGTAAGATTAAGTGTTCCAAACTATTATTTTCTTTCTCTTTTATCAATTCTTTTATGGCAGCGTTATGGCAAATAAAAGTAAGGGTTTGATTATCATGTAGACCCAAGAAAAGATAAAACTATAGTTGTTATTTAAAAAAAAAAATCCCACCTTCAGTTTGCTGTTCAACCCATTGGTTAATTTCCTTTTTTGCCTTGTCTGGAGCATTTGAGAAATCCACTGTGGATAATTCAGCTCCATACAAATTCTGGGTGCTAGTCAAGAAATCCTAGTAAAATGGGACATATAATATTTATAAATGCTAAAATAAATTATAACATTATAAAATAAATAGAATTATTATGGATAGCAACAAGAGAAGCATTTTCATTTAACAAATGAATGAATGAATGAATGAATAAAATCATCCACAATCAATTAGAGATTCAATGAACCTATAAAACTGCATATTTCAAAGCTGTGATGGAATGTGTAACTGGAGAAGCAGTGAGAGGTGAGGTGGGGAAATTTTAACAAAATACCTAATTTTTCAGGGGTGAAATCCAGCAGGTTCTGACAGATTCTGGAGAACCGGTAGTGGAAATTTTGAGCAGTTCGGAAAACCGGCAAATACCACCTCTTGCTGGCCCCAGAGTGGGGTGGAAATGGAGATTTTGCAATATCCTTCCCCCAGGAGTGGAGAGGGAATGCGGATTTTGCAGTATCCTTCCCCTAAAGTGGGGTGGGAATGGAGATTTTGCAGTATCCTTCCCCTGCCATGCCCGCCAAGTCATACCCACCATGGCCACAGAACTGGTAGTAAAAAAATTTGGATTTCACCACTGAAATTTTCCCAGAGAGAGAGACACCCAGATTAAGAGGTTGTGCAGTCCCAAAATGGAGGGGGGTGGGGGAAGAGGTTCAGGGAAGCCACACCCTGGAATCTCTCAGGATAGAATAGGTTAGATGGTTATAACCTTCATTTGGCTAGATTCTGTCCATTAGGTGTAAGAAAATGAATGACTGGATATGAGTGGATCTCACTGTATTGTCTTTGGGCTGGGCGGACCATAGCAGACCTAATTAAGAGAAATTAAGGATTCACTTAAAACAAAGGATAACTGTATTGATGAGTATCATAAGCCAGTGGTGGCTAACCTTTTCCGGACTGAGTGCCCAAAGTGCAGCTGGACCCACAAAATGCAATGCGTACATGCCCCCCCTCCACATGCACGCCTGGTCCCCTGCTCATGCCCTACCCCTCACGCATGCATGGGAGAGACCCAATGACTAACTGGCCAGTGGGAGGCGCGTGCACAAGCGCAGTGGAGCTGAACTGGGGCGACAGCTCGTGTGCCCACAGAAAGGACACTGCGTGCCACCTGTGGCACGGTGCCATAGGTTCGCCATCACGGCCATAAGCTAATAAAATTTGAAATTGATCTATAAAGCCATCCATTAATTATTGATGTTTATTTATTTAGCAATCTACTTACAGACAAAAAGTTGAAAGTTTTTTCTCCATACAATCTATTAGCAAGTTTCAGAATATAGGGTGCATTGCTCCGGTTAATTTTAGCATTGAGAGTCTGAAATACTGAATGAAGATCTTCAACTCCATCAAAATGAAATGTCTGCATGGAAAAGATAAGTCCTAACTTAGTACCAATAAGAACTGGTTAGTTCAAAAATAATTTTGTCTAAGAACAATGGAGACATTTCAGAAATCTACAGATTTGCAGGTAGAAAGCATACATAAACAAATAGTACAATGGACCGTTCTCTGCAAACTTAGGTTTCATCTTAAAAGAGGTGCATACAGTATCTAAGATTAATACAATGGGTTATACATATACGAGGAAAAATTAGGGATTTATCAAAGCCTGAATGTGTTTACCATATATTCTGTCTTTGGAAAGTGACTAAACAGGTGACTTTATTCAAAATTAGTTACGGTTATCAACTACAGAATCCATGTAGACTACAGCACAAAAGAAACTGATACAGACAAGGAAAAAGTTGAATATTAGTCTGATTTTCGTAACAATTTTTTTGATAAAATATAGCAAGAGGGTAGACAACGTTTCCTTTGAATGCAATGGAGAGCATCAAAATGTTTATTTCTTTCCCATTTGCACAGTTAGTATGAGGGGCTGACACTCTGTCATTTGGAGACCAAAATATTAATTCCCCATAGAGGCTAAACGTTTTTGGGGAAGGAGCTTTTGCTTTCATTTATCACAACCTACTACTGTAATTGGGTGCTTGAAAATTTCAGCATAGCAGACAATGACATCAGTCTATATGCTGAGTTTGCTTGAGGCATAGCGAAAAAAAGAGAGCATTGCCTCTTTGTATGTTTTTGTATATCAATTTTGTTCTTACATCCTTATTCCGTACAGGTTGGATTAAGTGTGGAGAATCTAAACCAAGGGTTTTCAAACTTTCTCAGAGTCTAACCCAGAGGTCTTCAAACTTGGCAGCTTTAAGACTTGTGGACTTCAACTCCCAAAATTCATAGCTGGCTGGAGAATTCTGGGAGTTAAAGTCCACAAGTCTTAAAGATGCCAAGTTTGGGGATCCCTGCTCTAACCTGTCAGTAAAAAAATACAATTCCAAGGACCTCTGATCAATAGGCCAACATTGATAGAAAATTGGCTACCTACCTTGTCTCTCCATCATCTCCATCATTTCTCCGTCTCTCCCTCCCTCCCTCCATCCATCATCTGGCTAGCTGATGACAGTAGCTACCTAACTATCTCTATCACTTATCTATCTATCTTTATCACCTATCTATCACCCTTATTCTCTTGAAAATTGTTTGCTCAGCAGATCACTAGTAAAACCCGGGAGTAAAATACGAAAGAAGCAACATTACTGATCCTGTCTCTTACTAACTTTTTGGAAGTCCTAACTAAAGCTGGCGATTCACTTAATACATTTTAAGAAGATGATTCATCCCTAAACTAGAGGCGGTTTTTCCAATACGCAGCACTTAAAATTCCACTCTCCTTACAAAAGAGCCGCATTTCCTCGTATTAGCAGCCATACTAACGTGTCAGAAAAACACCTGCTGACCTTCAGGAGTTCCGAGGCTGTGTTACCGCGGGCCCCTAAGGCGACCATGGCCAGGGCGGACGATACACTGAGCGGAGAAAAGAAAACGTTGCCGGTTGGGTGGGCTTCCGTCAACTTTTGGAAAAGATCCAGAGCAAACTGCGAGTTTGCATTAGCCAGTTTATCCATAGCGAGGAAGGGAAAGCTTGAAAACAAGCAAAACGAAAGGAAGAAAATTACATCTGGCGCAGCTTTAAAATCATAGCGCCAATCCCGAGCAACGGACACCGGAGAGCAAGCGCCAGCTTTAGACGGCAACCAGCGACCCGCCCTTACCTGCCGAGAGGAGACCAGCGCCGATGCTGGTGGATGCGCAGAGAGCCACAGCCGCGCAGATCCCGGGTCTTGGGGGTGCGAGGAAGGGAGCGCTGGGGGGCCTCTGGAACTGGCGAGGCGGGAGCGCCCTGGGACTCCGACCTTCCCCGAACCAGGCAGGCTTCGAGAGTTGGAAGGCTTCCGAGGGGCGAGAGGAGGAGGAAGGGTGGGGTTGCTGTCTATCTGTTCACATCCGCATAATGCCTCCAATACACGCACTTAGCCCACCCGCCACAGCTGCACAAGCTCGCTGAACGGAAAGGGAGGGAGAGGAGAGGCGAGGAGGAGGGGGGAAAGGGGGGAAAGGGGGGGGGTGGGGGTGGGAGGAGAGGGAAGGAAAACCGAAAGTAGCAGCAGAAGCCAGACGGGGTTGAGAAACCTACAGAAGAGAACTTGCTCTTAAAGGCTCCAATATATGTGGTCTTGTCAGGAAGCCAGGAAATCAAAGGCTCAGAATGAACAACGTTTTGAAACAAAAGTCAAAGAGAATTGTTAACCTTTCTTTCAACCTATAAATAACAAGAAAATAAATCAAGGAAACAGCAAAGGAAGTAACAGGCAGCAGAGAGAAAGCAGAGCTGCTTAACTCAGTCTTTGCATCCGTCTTCATGCAAAAAGAAAGTTTGGCCCCACCTACCAAAAACATAGCTGCAAAAGATAGACTAGAAATAAAAGTGAAAAGAAATTTTTAAAAAATGGTTAGAGAACACCTGTCTGATGTTGAATATAAATCACCGGGACCTGACAGATTACATCCTGGAGTTCTAAAGGAGCTGGCAGATGTCATATCAGAACCACTGTACCATATCTTTCAGAAATCCTGGATCATTGGGGAGCTATCAGAGTACTGGAAAAGAGCCGATGTGGTTCCCATCTTCAAACAAGGGGAAAAAAGAGACCAAGGAAACTACAGACCAATCCCCCTAACATCAATATACAGGAAGACACTGGAAAAAAATAATCAAAAAACATCTGCGAACATCTAGAAATGAGTAAAGTAATAAGTAGAAGTCAGCACAGTTTGTTAAAAACAGATCACGCCAAACCAATCTTATTTCATTCTTTGACAAAGTGACTAAATTAGTAGACCAGAGAAATGTTGTGGACATAGTATACTTAAGACTTCAGCAAGGCATTCAACAAGGTAGACCACAACCGACTTCTTCTTAAGCTAGAAAAAAGTGAGATAGATAGCATGACCATTAGATGGATTTGTAACTGGATGACAAACCGTCCTCAATGCATAGTCCTTAATGGTACTACATCTACATGGAGGGAAGTAAGCAGTGGGGTACAACAAGGTTCTGTCTTAGGCCCAATACTCTTCAATATCTTCATAAATAATTTAGATGAGGGAATAGAAGGGGAACTTATCAAAATTGCAGATGATACTAAGTTGGCAGGAATAGCCAAGATCCTAGATCAGGGGTCTCCTACCTTTTGGACCTCAGGGACCACCAAATTGATAATTTTAAATCCCGCAGACCACGGGGGGTGGGGGGTGGGGGGGAAGGCTCAGCTGCCTTTCGGGCCAGTCTGCTTCTGCGAGGCCTCTGGGTGGGAGGCCCAAGAGAAAGTGCCTGGTCCTGGCACACAGCCTGGAAACTTCTTCCTCTCCAGAAGCTTAGTCAATCTGAGTGAAGGAAAATGAAGACAGGCAGACGGTGGCTTGCTGACGTTGGTGGGAAAGTCGGTCCCATATTCTAGAGCTGTAGTCGTGACAGGACTGGCGCTTTGGTCATCCTGAAGCAGCTCCTCCATCCGGATGCACCGGCCTTCAGGGGAGCTCCCTGCTCCCCATGGTCGGGCTGGAAATCTCCGCCATAGGCGGTGGCATGTGCAATGTGCAACTTTGCAGGTGGCGCAATGGAACGAGGTAATGGTGCTGTTGCGGCAGGGGGTGGTGGTGGCCCAAGTGGGCCGAAGCGGCAGTAGCGATGGCTGGAAGGTATGGGAGTGAAGCGCTACTTGCATTTGTGCGGCATCAGATTCCACCTTCACCGTGGTATATTTGCGCCAGCTGGTGGTGCCAAGGCAGCCCTTGTCTCCTCCTGCTTGGGGCTTGGAGTGATAAACCGCGTCTGGGAAGTACTAAGCAGAGAGAGGCAGCCAGAGTCAACCTTAGCTTTGCTGGCCATTGCAGACACTAGATCGGCCCTCTGCAAACTCTCGTCTCTCGAACAGCCTGGCCAAAATTACTTGTGCTGCTTCAGGGAGCGCTCCTCGAGAGACGAGAGTTTGCAGAGGGCCGATCTAGCACCTGGGCTGGCTACAAGAGAAACGTTCACTCGGCCACATTTGAGACTTCTAGCTCCAATGGACAGGAAAGCTAGGGTTGACCCCAGGTGCTTCTCTGTGCTAACAGGCGGCCAAGCTAACTGACTGAAGGACTCCATACTGACTGGGAGTCAAAGCGCTGAAGCGCGAGCGGCTGGACTACCATCTGCCAGAAATGGTGTAGGGTCTCCAGCTTGGGTGGGGGGTTGGACTAGATGACCTACTAGGTCCCTTCCAATTCTGTTATTCTCTTGTTGTTAGGGAAAACATACCCCACCCCCAGTATATTTTCAGAAAATTTGGGTTGCTTCTCAACCACCTGCCAGAGAAATGGAATGTAAATACAGTAATCACTTTATTTATTGGAGAAAATAAAAGGGCAAACAGAAAAAAGGGGCAAATCTGAAGGAAGTTCACAAGGATTAAAAACGGGTGTGAAATGCTCCCAGTTCGGACCGGATCGGCCGATCCGGTAGCGATGGAGGCGGGTGATTCGAAGAACCGGTACCAAAAATCCCTGCCCCCCCACATGCCCAGCTGAGCCGCACAATCATCAGAGGTTTTTTTTTTTTAGTTTTAAAAGCATTTTTTCGACAAGCTCTTTGGCCAAAAAATGCTTTTAAAAGTAAAAAAAAAAAGCCTCTGCTGTTCAGGCAACTCAGCTGGGATCGTCAGAGCCTTTTGAAAGCATTTTTTACAACTCTTTGCCAAAGAGGTTGTAGAAAAAATGGTTTTAAAAGTAAAAAAAAAAAAATTGGCCACGCCCACCATCACATTACCCCCCCAAGCCACGCCCACAGAACCGGTAGTAACAAATATTAGATTTCACCACTGATTAAAAATAGCAATATTTTTTTATATCTTTGTTTTACAGAGGAAAATTCAAGAACAAAATAATTAAATAATTAAATCTAAAGGATTGCTATCCTTTATAACAAAGGGTGTATGTTCACTACAATTATAAGTATTATCTACAGTGCTGTCAGAACATATTCAGAGCCCCTTCACTTTTGTTACGCTTCAGCCTGATTCTAGATTCATTTTCTCCTCATTAATCTACATTCAGTACCCTGTAATGACAAAGCGCAAAGAGCATTTTAGAAATGTCTGTAAATTTATCAGGCGGAAAAACTGAAATATCACAACTTGGTGGCAGCCATCCGGGCTGGGACACGGTCAGCCTTAGATCCGTGGGGCTGCCCTGGAGCCAGTGAGGGGGCATTTGCTGCCCCGCCCTCTGGGTGTGCCTGGTGACTGTCTTGCCCCTCAGGCTGATTTAGTTCTGAGCGCTTCCCTTTCACCCAGGACTCCAGCCCCTGTGCGTTCATCACTTCCTGCACGCACACCCAGGGGATAGGCCTGAAGTGGCAGGGGCAGCGCCTCACTGGCTCCAGGGCAACCCCACGGATCTAAGGCTGACCCATTCCAGCCCAGATGGCCACCACCAAGTTGTAGATCAGTACTGTCCCAGCCTTGCAGCATGCAAGTGCTTACCTTTTACCAGGACCAACCAGAAATGGAAAAGCCACGGCCACTGGTGGCAGAGTCACCAGCAGTGCTGCCGTTTTCTCCCCCTCCCCTTGTCCCTCCCTGAGCATGAAGGAAGCAAGGAAGGAAGGGGATAGGAACGAGAAGCAGGGAAGGAAGGAAAGTAGGAAGGAAGGAGAGGGGAAGGAGAGGGAAGGAGGGTCTGAAGGAAGTCCTGTGTTAGAACTTGGGCACCAGCACTTGCTGCCTTTTCGCCATCCCCTCCCCGTGGCCTTCTGATGGTCTCCCATCCTCTCGCTGAGGATGCCTAGGTTACAAAGCTGGGTCTCCTCTCAGGGAGAGGGAATGGGCCTCCTTCTGATCCACATTTTGCCCTCCCACACCCACCATGAGCAACCTGGCCAAGGAGAGCGAGCACAGCAGCAGCAGCAGGAGGTAAGAATGGCAGTCTACAAACACAGTAAGGATGGAGGGATATTGACACTGCCTCCTTTACCCCCAAGATGTAATTTGAACAGGGACTCCTACTTGTGTTTGTTCATATTCACAGCTAGTCTTTCAAACTTTCAAACCAAAGAGGCTTGGTAGTACAGTGGTAGTAAAGCACCCTGTTATTAACACCAGCTGCCTGCAATTACTGCAAGTTTGAATCTCACCAGGCTCAAGGTTGACTCAGCCTTCCATCCTTTCTAAGGTAGGTAAATTGAGGACCCAGTTTGTGGGGGCAATAAGATGACTTTGTATAAATATACAAAAGTATGAAGGCTATTGCTTAGCGCATTGTAAGCCGCCCTGAGTCTCCGGAGAAAGGCAGCATATAAATCAAATTTAAAAAAAACAAAACTCTTCAAACTGACATTATAATTTCTTTATCTAATACCTACCTTCAATAAAATCAATGTCTAACAATATATAGTTCAGATTTACTGAGCAGAGACAATTGGACAAAAAATATCAAAAAATTAGTAGATTGAGGTCAGTGGTGATTCGTATGTAAACAATTCTGCATTTACTGAATGATAAGAAAAGTTATACCATAATTCCTCATAAGATACCATGTTCCTCCAAAAACACGACCACCCCAATAATAATCCCAACCCTATTTTTTGGGGCAGGGGCCTAATATTACCCTTACCCTGAAAATAAGCCTGGGGGAATGGGCGTGGCCAGCAGGAGTGGCGGCGCGGGTGGGGGGGGATTGTCCGGCTGCAGCTGCAGCCCACTGGCCCCTTGGGGCAGCGCAAATACCACTTTTGCCCTTCTCTTTCTGGGTGCAGTGCTTCTACTTGTTGGGCCGCTTCCCTGAAGCCGGCACCTTCGCGGCCAGCCCCTTTGCTTTTCCCCTCTTATTGGGAGGCTCGTGGGATGTTTTTTGGCGAATGGGAAGAAAATTGAGGGGGAGGGATTTTCCTGCCTGTCATCCATTCCTCAAGCTCAGCACAGACTGAGGAAAGGATGGCAGGCAGGAGAATTTTCCTCCTCCCATTTTCCTCCTGTTCGCCAAAAAGCCTCCATTCCGAACACTGAAGGTTTGGAATGGAGGCAACGGTGTATCCACAGCAGAGGTGGGTTCTACTTACCTTTACTACCGGTTTGCAATGGGGCCGTGTGTGCTCTTCTGCGCATGTGCAGAAGCATTTTGATGACATCAGGGTTGGTAGGCGGAGCGTCCTGCCGGTTTTACTACTGGTTCTATAGAACTGGTGCGAACCGGGGGCAACCCACCATTGATCCATGGAGCATCCAGCTCACGGAGTCTGGCTTTCTGCACCTCAAAAAAAGTAAGACTGCCTCGAAAATAAGCCCAAGTGTTCATTTTCAAGTCTAAAAGAAAATAAGACTCGGTCTTATTTTCTGAGAAACACGGTACTTACTAAGGCACGTGCCAAATGGCTTTGCATTTCCAAGAACAAAAAAGACGTCACTTTCTGAATTCTATATTATCGATGATTTTCAAGGACAAAGGAGTCTGGACCAAAGGCTCTTACATTATATTGAATGAAGGCCAACTTTATTCCAGTAATTCATGTGTTATTCGTTTTACAAACACCTTTGCTTAATGGCTTCCAAACAGCTCAAACTACAATCCCCAGAATTCCTAGTTAGCTGGAAATTAAAGGAACTGCAGTCAAACACACCTGAATGTCCTAGATTAGAGATGGCTACCCTTTAGAGCGAAGTGTCACATAAAACCTGTTAAAAGACTCAGGAGTTCAAGAAAATTGAAGATGGAAGATATCTGGAGGAACTCAACTTGTTCATGGCAATTCTCCCAAGCACGCAGAGAAATGTGTATATTATAGGAGGCTGGAAGCTGGTTTTATGATTTACGATACTCTTTATGGAGAGGCAAATCTACCAAGGAAAAGTATCGTGTTTGTTGGATTATGACGGATAAAAAATAGGAAAGGATGATCAGCATTAAAATCCTTCCCCATGACCACACAACAAGAATATACACATATAGCAGCAGTAGCTGCTGCTGCTTCAGTGCCCGCTTCATTTACTTCTAGAAAGGACTTGTGAACAATTTTAGACACATGGAGATCCTGAGCTCCTGACATTCCAGACAAATCAGCCTTGCTACTGTCAAACACATCTACTAGCCCCAATGCTGCAAAGTAAGATTCAAGATCATAGTTTTCTTCCAGCTGAAATTTAGGTAGATGTACATTGACGTCCACGCTGGAGTTCATATTTTTGGACTGGGTCCATTCTTGCAGTTTTTCCAAAGTAAGCTGCTTCTCCAGCTAAAAAGGCAAAGAAAGAAAAGTAATCATTTGCATCATTGTGCCCAGGGCCGGATTTTCCTATAGGCTAACTAGGCTTCAGCCTAGGGCCTCAAGATCCAGAGGGGCCTACACAGTGTGGGATTTTGGGTGTTCTAGGTGGCTGCACCGAACCCTTTGTTAAATTGCTGGCTCCCCCGCCCCTCCGCACCACTATTTATTGCCAATAAATAGTGGTGGGCAAGGGGCGGGGGAGCCAGCAATTTAACAAAGGGTTCGGTATTTTTTTTGTAATGTTATTGGCCCCCGGAGCTTCAGCATAGGCTAATTGGCCTCCCGGCTCTCAGCTGATTTGTCTCCGCTGTTTTGCTTCCTTCCAAAGAGTGCTGATTTTTTTTCCCCTAGCTATACTGAGAAACGAAAGTGAAACTGCTTTGCTGTTGCTGCAAGGTTGGAAAATTAGGCAGGCAGAATTCTTTTCTTTTTCCTCACCAAAAAAGGTACGTGCAAACAATGGGAAATTTAGGGAAAAAGAGAAGAGTTCAGGATTTTAAAACACAAAAGAAAAAAAAGCTGTATTTAACTAGGGAATTGTAATAATTGAGATACTATTAATTGTATATTTCTGAAAGCAGAAATGGTTAAGTTGTGGTTTGGAGGAATATATGGGGGAAATTATTTGGTTTATTATTATTGGTAAATATAATTAATGGATTTGTAAGAAATTGGATTGCATGGAAATAATTGGAATATTCATGTTCATATTGATTAATATACAAAAAAGGTAGTTATATAACTAATTGATTTATATTAAAATGTTGAATTTATATTAAACAACTAATATTACATAATTAACCAATGTGAGGATGGATATAAAAATAGATGACAATGGGAAGGGGTATAATATAGAATAGAAGGGAAAAATTGAATTTGATTAAGATTAGAGATGAGGATGAGGGTAATATTGGTTTTTTACAAAAATAGATGAGGAATAAATATGGCAAAAAGGAAATATAGAAATTGTAAATTTAATTGAAATGACTAAACACTGTTTAAATTTGTGAACCGGCCAAATACTCTGTTCAAAGAAAATAGATTGTATGTTTGTATGTGTGTTTCTAATTATTGTTATTTATTCATATTTGTTCTCTTTTATTCTTTAAAGTTTAACAATTCATTCTTTATCTTAATATCTTTATATCTGTTTGGGGTTGGCTTTCTTCCCTTTCATCTTTTTTATTGTATAGCAATCTTTCTCCTCAAACCTACCACCTTTCTTTTCTTTCCTTCTTATTTTCTCTTCCTCCCCCCTCTTCTTCTCCTCCCTACTTCCTCTTCCTTTCTCCTTCTCCTTCTCTCTTCCTACCTCTCTCTCCTACTCTAATTTCCCTTCCCTTCCTTCATCCCTCTCTATTGCTGTATCCTTTTATGCATATGGACTACTCAGAGGGCTGAAAAAGTTATTTCTGACTGGTCCTTGCACTTTTGACCAGTCCTCGAACTTACGACTGTCCTCACATTTTACGTTTTTGCCCTATCTTGTCACCATGGTGAAGAAAAGCAGTTGTGAAATGAGTGACATGGTTGTTAAGAAAGCTGCACGGGCATAAATGTGAGGATGGTCATAAGTGTGAGGACCGGTCAAAAGTGCGAGGCCCAGTCAGAAATGACTTTTTTCAGCCCTCTGGGTAGTCCTTTTGTGCATATGGACTACTCAGAGAGCTGAAAAAGTTATTTCTGACTGGTCCTCGCACTTTTGACCAGTCCTCGAACTTACGACTGTCCTCACATTTTACGTTTTTGCCCTATCTTGTCACCATGGTGAAGAGAAGCAATTGTGAAATGAGTGACATGGTTGTTAAGAAAGCTGCACGGGCATAAATGTGAGGATGGTCATAAGTGTGAGGACCGGTCAAAAGTGCGAGGCCCAGTCAGAAATGACTTTTTTCAGCCCTCTGAAAAAAGTCTATGCACATAGCCACGCCCACCCGGGCACATGACGAGCTACCCACGCCTACACAGTCACGTGACCAGCTAGCCACGCCCACCCAGTCACATGATTGCCAAGCCACACCCCCAACTAAGCCATGCCCACAGAACCTGTTGTTAAATATTGAATCCCACCACTGGTGAAAGGGCCTCATAAGTGGAATAGCCTAGGGCCTCTTTCAATCTAAATCCGGCCCTGATTGTGCCACAATATTTCCATTTCAGCAAAGAGAAACTTCTTGCTGAAAAACAGAACATCTCTCACTTCAGTATGAATGAATTTGCAGAGTCAGAGAGCAAATTTCTCTATCCCAGACATGGTCTTTCACTATGGGAAACAATAAAAATATGGCAGTGAACTAATTGCAAGAGGGTTGGTGCCTCATGCTAAACTATTTGCAGCTTTAACAGATGTTCAGATGGGAAAAAATTAACGCAGAGTTTATAGCATAAACATTATTAGAAGTAAACATAGATTTTTTAAAAAAGTATTTTCAAGCAAAACCGTGGTTGTCCTTTCCAAATGTAACATAAAAAGCGTCTATTTTATAGATACCTTACTGTTTACTATTTAAGATACTATTTAAATCTAATTCAGATCTAATCTGTTTTCAGCTCTTTCACCCGAGATGATTAGGAATTCATAGTGTCTGGTACAAAAATGAAGAAAACTCTTAAATATTTTCTGGAGATCCCCAAAATAAGGCAGCCTCTCTTCAGAACCCAACTGATATATGTGGAGCCACTCAAGGCATCACATAAACCACAACTTTGTCTATGCGTATGGGTGTCCTACCAAGTATTCATGTAATATTTAGAATAATTTTGTTTAGGACAATAATTTTATAGCAATAGCAGGAAACAATAGAATCACCTGTTCTAGGCCTGTGGAATTATCTTCAATGTTGTCAGGCAAAAGGATGATCATACTAAGATCCTTTCCCTTGTATGGCAGTTCCAGCACACAACACTTGCATTCGGGGATATAACGAAAAGGAAGTTTCTCTTCCATAAACATCATCTTCACATTCTTCTTTTCTGTCTGGATTATTTTAGGAGTATTACAGTGAGGAGTTTATCAAACAACAAAGAAAGAAATCTTCTGTATGTATATGCTGAAGTTGATAGAACTAGTTTTGGGAATTGAATCTTTGCAAAACTATATTAATATATAGCTGTTCTTTGGAATTATACAACTCTATTAAGCTAAATGAAATTCATTTCCAGGTAAGGATAAACAGAACAGCTAAACCAACTTAAAAAATAAACCAAGGGAAAAAACCTACCTATAGTATAAAAAAAATAAAAATTGCTTTGTTTTCCTTCGTGTATTAGGAGAAATAGACAAGTGACCCACTAATTTCAGTAAAGTATTTCAGAATGGAACTAGGTTTAACTTATGGGAAAGTTGAGATTTGTAACTGGTGATTAGGGTCAAAGGAATTGACATAAGGCTTCAAAAGAGCCCTGGTGGCGCAGCAGACTAAAGCACTGTTATTAACATCAGCTGCCTGCAATTACTGCAAGTTCAAATCTCACCAGGCTCAAGGTTGACTCAGCCTTCCATCCTTTCTAAGGTAGGTAAAATGAGGACCCAGATTGTGGGGGCAATAAGCTGACTTTGTATAAATATACAAAAGTATGAAGGCTATTGCTTAACGCATTGTAAGCTGCCCTGAGTCTCCGGAGAAGGGCGGCATATAAATCAAATTTAAAAAAACAAACAAAAACCTACAGGTAAGTTAGGATTACGATGCTTCATGAGAGTGGCTATTGCTACACCTACCTAAACAACAAGCTGTTGTTACAGAAGATAGACAAAAAAAAATATTTACCTTATTTAGTCTAAAAGGCTTGTCTTCAGTAACTTCTTTAAATGGCTTTGCCCAATTGCCTTTAAAGTAGACAGCATTCACCAAAACCAATTTAGTCATTTCATTGATGGATCCTTCAGATAACAACTCAGGGATTTTACCTTGATGGAGAAATTTTATTGTTAATTAGCTGTGCAAAGAACTGAGACTTAAATAATATTATCAGATCAATGAGATTAATCTAAATGCACTTCTTAAATGTACATTTCCCCTCTGCAATTATCTTGTAAATATTTGTCTTTAAAAAAAAATCCCGAATTAGCAAAAGCTGCTGTAAATGGTACTGGCCATTTCTGTCATGTGGCTCAAGGTGCCACATGACAGAATCAATCCAATCAATCAATCAATCAATCAATCAATCAGAATAGAGCTGGAAGGGATCCTGGAGATCTTTTAGTCCAACCCCCTGCTCAAGCAGGAGACCCTATACCAGTGATGGCTAATCTTTTTGCCATCACATGCCAAAACGAGGGGGGGGATGTGTGTGGCATACCCATAATTCTATGTGCCCCACCCCCCCACGCATGCGCGGGTGACCCCCACCAGCGCTCCCCCCACTTTTGGCACGTGATGACATGGTGCACCCGGTAGGCCCGTTTTTCGCCCTCCCCAGGCTCCAGAGCCTTTCTAGGAGCCTGAGGAAGGTGAAAATGGCCTTCCCCATCCCCCGGAGGCGTCCTGGAGGCCAGAAACAGCATGTTTCCCAATTTACTGTGGGCCCAGAAGGCCTGAAAATCAGTTGGCCGGCCCGCACATTCACACTAGAGCTGAGCTCACATGCCCACCGATATGGCTCCACATGTCACCTGTGGCATATATGCCATAAGTTTGCCATCACGGCCCTATACCATTTCAGACAAATGACTGTCTAGTTTCTTCTTAAAAACCTCCAGTGATGAAGCAGCTACAAGTTCTGAAGTGAAGCTGTTCCACTGGTTAATTGTCCTCACTGTTACGAAGTTTCTCCTTAGTTCCAGATTGCTTCTCTCCTGGATTAGTTTCCATCCATTGTTTCTTGTCCTGCCTACAGGTGCTTTGGTAAATAACTTGACCCTCTCCTCTTTGTTACAGCATCTCCATGGTCACATGATCAACATTCAGATGCTTGGCAACTGACTCATATTTATGACGGTTGCAGTGTCCCGGGGTGATGTGATCACTTTTTGATAAGCAAAGTCAAGGAGGAAGCCAGATTCACTTAACAACTAGGTTACTAATTTAATAAGTGCAGTAATTCACTTAACAACTATGGCAAGAAAAGTCATAAAATAGGGCAAAATTCACTTTATAAATGCCTTAGCAAAATAAATTTTGGGCTCAATTGTGGTCATATGTTGAGGACCTGTATCTCTTGGGAGATACTTTAAGGGCAAGGATACATTGTGTCCTATGTATCTGTGGGTTGTTCTCTCAAGCTTAAATTCTTTTATTAGTTTACTTATTTATTTATTTATTGAATTTATATTGCCGCCTATTCGCACATGGCAACTCAAGGCAGCTTACAGAATATAAAGCCTCATATAAAAACAATAAAACTAATAAGAAGAGTCATATAATAATATAATAAAATCACCCCTACCTCAGCGATAGCACCTCACACGAGCCATTTAATGGGCTCCGTCCTGCTTTGGATTCCCCAGGCCTGCTGGCAGAACCAAGTCTTCAGTGACTTCCGAAGAGTGCTAGAGTGGGGGGCCATTCTAATCTTTGGGGAGATGATGTTCCAGAGAGAGGGGGCCACTACAGAGAAGACCCTTCTTCTGGGTCCCACCAAGTGTATCTCCCTAGAGACACACATTCCCTGCCTCCCCGCTCTGATGGGTCAGGTAGATGTGATCGGCAAGAGATGGTCCCTCAGAAAACTTGGTCGCAAGACATGAAGGGCTTGAAAGGTGACAACCAGCACCTTGAATTGTACCCGGAAGCAAATCAGCAGCCAATGCAGCTCCCACAGGAGAGGTGATACAGGGGTACTGAGCTCTGCGGAACCCCACAAAGCACTGAGTGAAGGCTGGATCTCTCCCCTCCCATCAACACTGATTGAGAGTGGCCACAGAGGAAAGAAGTGGACCAGGATAGCACAAGGCCTCCCATTCCCATCCCCTGAAGCCGCTCCAAGAGATTATGATGGTTGATGGTATGAAAAGCAGCTGAGATTTTCCCGAAAATAAGACCGGGTCCCTAAATAAGCACTAGGGCTTATTTTCAGGGAGAGTCTTTTTTTTCCGATGTATAAGAGGCCCACTTCTTCTGCTTGCTCGCAGTGGGGCAGGAGGCCATGCAGTGTGCCAGTGCCGCTGCCACAAGGCAGGAGGGATGAAGCTGCCCCATGTGCCCCGCATGGGTTTACCTCAGGGCCCCCGCAGCCAGGCCATGCCCCAACATCTACCTTGCCTCGTGGCCACAGCACCAGCAGCCCCGTCTAGCAGAACCCCGTGTGGCTGCCAACCCCCTTCTTCTGCTTTCTCATGGCTGGGGCAGAGCAGGAACAATGCACTGGTGCCACTGCTGGGGCCATGAGGCAAGTTGGTGTGGGGCAGGTCCATCACGCCAACTCGCCTCTTTGCTGCGGCACCACGAGCAAACAGACAGAATGGGCAGGTAGCCATCTGCACAGGCTCTTAAGTAGGGCTTATCTTTGGGGATAGGGCTTAGGCACGCACATAAAAAACCATGCTAGGGCTTATTTTTGGGATAGGTCTTATTTTCAGGGAAACAGGGTACACAGAGGGATGGGGAAGGGGAAAAGAGAAGTGAGGAAGAGAGGATAGAAAAGAAATAAAGGTGTTGACTTCCAACTCCCTGGGTTGCAATAGAATAAAGCATTAGCATTGAACCTCAACTTTTACTTTTCTATAATAGTATAAACTAGCCCTTTCTATAAAGACGAATCAATCTAATCAATAAGTATCTGTGAGTTATTCTCAAACTTCTTTTTCATCAGACTTGTTATGCAAACCCAAAATACCTTTTATCAAGTTACGGACTGCTGACTGGATTAACCACTGTAGAACCAGCAGTTCTGTAAATTTAACGGCTGCAAACTATTATTGTGTTTTCTCTTTTATCAATTCCTGAAATTGGTATTTTATGGCAGCATTATGGCAAATAAAAGTAAAGGTTTGACTATCATGTAGACCAGGCTGTCAAACTCATGGCCCGTGGGCTGGATGCGTCATGCTCTGGCCATGCCCATACCTGGTTTAGCGAAGGGGGGAAAGTCCAGATATGTCACGTGACACTACCATGATGATATGAGTTTGATACCCCTGAGGTAGACCCAAGAAAAAATAAAACTTTAGTTGTTATTTTTTAAAAAAAATCTCACCTTTAGTCTGCTTTTTAACCCATTGGTTAATTTTCTTTTTTGCCTTGTCTGGAGCATTTGAGAAATCCACTGTGGATAATTTAGCTCCATACATATTCTGGGTGCTAGTCGAGAAATCCTAGTAAAATGAAACATATAATATCCATAAACGATAAAATATAAAATTATAGAATAAATAGAATTATTATGGATAGCAAGAAGGAAAGTATTAACATTTAAAAAATAAATAAAATAAACAAACAAACAAATAAATAATCAACCAATCAACCAACAACCAACCAATAAATAAAATTGTCTTCAATCAATTAGAGATTCAATGGACCTGTAAAACTGCATATTTCAAAGCAGTGATGTTTCTCCACCTGGAGAAACAATGGGGTGAGGTGGGGGAATTTTTAGCAAAATACCAAGTTTTCCCAGAGAGAGACACCCAGATTAAGAGGTTGTGCAGTCCCAAACTGGAGGGGGTGGGGGAAGAGGTTCAGGGAAGCCACACCCTGGAATCTCTCAGGATAGAGTAGGTTAGATGGTTATAACCTTCATTTGGCAAGATTCTGTCCATTAGGTGTAAGAAAATGAATGACTGGATATGAATGGATCTCACTGTATCATTTTTGGGTCAGGCTGACCATAGCAGACCTAATTAAGAGAGATTAAAGATTCACTTAAAGCAAAGGATAACTGTATTGATGAATATCATAAGCTAATAAAATTTGAAATTGATCTATAAAGCCATTCTGATGACCCATACATTATTGATGTTTATTTATTTAGCAATCTACTTACAGACAAAAAGTTGAAAGTTTTTTCTCCATACAATCTATTAGCAAGTTTCAGAATATAGGGTGCATTGCTCCGGTTAATTTTAGAATTAAGAGTCTGAAATACTGAATGAAGATCTTCAACTCCATCAAAATGAAGTGTCTGCATGGAAAAGATAAGTCCTAATTTAGTACCAATAAGAACTGGTTAGTTCAGAAATAATTTTGTCTAAGAACAATGGAGACATTTCAGAAATCTACAGATTCTCAGGTAGAAAGCATACATAAGCAAACAGTACGATGGACCACTCTCTGCAAACTTAGGTTTCATCTTAAAAGAGGCGCATACAGTATCTAAGATTAATACAATGGGTTATACGTATACGAGGAAATAGGGATTTACCAAAGCCTGAATGTGTTTCCCATATATTCTGTCTTAGGAAAGTAACTAAACAGGTGACTTTATTCAAAATTACCGTAGGGTATCAGCTACAAAATCCACGTAGACTACAGCACAAAAGAAACTTATATGGAGGAGGAAAAAGTTGAATATTAGTCTGATTTTCATAACAAATGGTTTTTTTGATAAAGAATAGCAAGAGGGTAGACAACGTTTCCTTTGAACGCAACGGAGAGCATCAAAATGTTTATTTCTTTCCCATTTCCGCATTTAGTATAAGGGGCTGACACTCTGTCATTTGGAGACCAAAATATTAATTTCCCATAGAGGCTAAACATTTTTGGGGAAGGAGCTTTTGCTTTCATTTATCACAACCTACTACTGTAATTGGGTGCTTGAAAATTTCAGCGTAGCAGACAATGACTTGAGTCTATATGCTGAGTTTGCTTGAGCCAAGGCGAAAAAAGAGAACATTACTTCTTTGTATGTTTTTGTATATCAATTTTGTTCTTACATCCTTATTCCATACAGGTTGGATTATGTGTGGAAAATTAAACCAAGAGTTTTCAAACTTTCTCAGAGTCTAACCTGTCAGTTAAAAATACAATTCCAAGGACCTCTGATCAATAGGCCAACTTTAGTGATAGAAAAGTGGCTACCTACCTTCTATCTATCTATCTATCTATCTATCTATCTATCTATCTATCTATCTATCTATCTATCTCTATCTCTACTCTATCTCTATCCTATCTATCTCTACTCTATCTACTCTACCTATCTCTCTTCTCTCTCTCTCTCTCTCATCTATCTATCTATCTATCTATCTATCACCTCCTTCTCTCTCCATCATTTCTCTGTCTCTCCATCTCCCTTCTTCCCTCCCTCAACTACTGGCTAGCTGATGACAGTAGCTACCTGACTATCTCTATCACTTATCACCTATCTATCACCCTTAGTCTCTTGAAAATTGTTTGTTCAGCAGATCAGTAGTAAAACTGATCCTGTCTCTTACTAACTTTTTGGAAGTCCTAACTAAAGCTGGCGATTCACTTAATACATTTTAAGACAATGATTCATCCCTAAACTAGAGGCGGTTTTTCCAATACGCAGCACTTAAAATTCCACTCTCCTTACAAAAGAGCCGCATTTCCTCGTATTAGCAGCCATACTAACGAGTCAGAAAAATACCTGCTGACCTTCAGGAGTTCCGAGGCTGTGTTACCGCGGGCCCCTAAGGCGACCATGGCCAGGGCGGACGATACACTGAGCGGAGAAAAGAAAACGTTGCCGGTTGGGTGGGCTTCCGTCAACTTTTGGAAAAGATCCAGAGCAAACTGCGAGTTTGCATTAGCCAGTTTATCCATAGCGACGAAGGGAAAGCTTGAAAACAAGCAAAACGAAAGAAAGAAAATTACATCTGACGCAGCTTTAAAATCATAGCGCCAATCCCGAGCAACGGACACCGGAGAGCAAGCGCCAGCTTTAGACGGCAACCAGCGACCCGCCCTTACCTGCCGAGAGGAGACCAGCGCCGATGCTGGTGGATGCGCAGAGAGCCACAGCCGCGCAGATCCCGGGTCTTGGCCTTGCGAGGAAGGGAGCGCTGGGGGGCCTCTGGAACTGGCGAGGCGGGAGCGCCCTGGGACTCCGACCTTCCCCGAACCAGGCAGGCTTCGAGAGTTGGAAGGCTTCCGAGGGGCGAGAGGAGGAGGAAGGGTGGGGTTGCTGTCTATCTGTTCACAGCCGCATAATGCCTCCAATATACCCACTTAGCCCACCCGCCACAGCTGCACAAGCTCGCTGAACGGAAAGGGAGGGAGAGGAGAGGCGAGGAGGAGGGGGGAAAGGGGGGAAAGGGGGGGTGGGGGTGGGAGGAGAGGGAAGGAAAACCGAAAGTAGCAGCAGAAGCCAGACGGGGTTGAGAAACCTACAGAAGAGAACTTGCTCTTAAAGGCTCCAATATATGTGGTCTTCTCAGGAAGCCAGGAAAGCAAAGGCTCAGAATGAACAACGTTTTGAAACAAAAGTCAAAGAGAATTGTTAACCTTTCTTTCAACCTATAAATAACAAGAAAAATAAATCAAGGAAACAGCAAAGGAAGTAACAGGCAGCAGAGAAAGCAGAGCTGCTTAACTCATCTTTGCATCCGTCTTCATGCAAAAAGAAAGTATGGCCCCACCTACCAAAAACATAGCTGCAAAAGATAGACTAGAAATAAAAGTGAAAAGAAATTTAAAAAAAACGGTTAGAGAACACCTGTCTGATGTTGAATGAATATAAATCACTGGGACCTGACAGATTACATCCTGGAGTTCTAAAGGAGCTGGCAGATGTCATATCAGAACCACTGTACCATATCTTTCAGAAATCCTGGATCATTGGGGAGCTATCAGAGTACTGGAAAAGAGCCGATGTGGTTCCCATCTTCAAACAAGGGGAAAAAAGAGACCAAGGAAACTACAGACCAATCCCCCTAACATCAATAAACAGGAAGACACTGGAAAAAAATAATCAAAAAACATCTGCGAACATCTAGAAATGAGTAAAGTAATAAGTAGAAGTCAGCACAGTTTGTTAAAAACAGATCACACCAAACCAATCTTATTTCATTCTTTGACAAAGTGACTAAATTAGTAGACCAGAGAAATGTTGTGGACATAGTATACTTAAGACTTCAGCAAGGCATTCAACAAGGTAGACCACAACCGACTTCTTCTTAAGCTAGAAAAAAGTGAGATAGATAGCATGACCATCAGATGGATTTGTAACTGGATGACAAACCGTCCTCAATGCATAGTCCTTAATGGTACTACATCTACATGGAGGGAAGTAAGCAGTGGGGTACAACAAGGTTCTGTCTTAGGCCCAATACTCTTCAATATCTTCATAAATAATTTAGATGAGGGAATAGAAGGGGAACTTATCAAAATTGCAGATGATACTAAGTTGGCAGGAATAGCCAAGATCCTAGATCAGGGGACTCCTACCTTTTGGACCTCAGGGACCACCAAATTGATAATTTTAAATCCCGCAGACCACGGGGGGTGGGGGGTGGGGGGGAAGGCTCAGCTGCCTTTCGGGCCAGTCTGCTTCTGCGAGGCCTCTGGGTGGGAGGCCCAAGAGAAAGTGCCTGGTCCAAGCACACAGCCTGGAAACTTCTTCCTCTCCAGAAGCTTAGTCAATCTGAGTGAAGGAAAATGAAGACAGGCAGACGGTGGCTTGCTGACGTCAGTGGGAAAGTCGGTCCCATATTCTAGAGCTGTAGTCGTGACAGGACTGGCGCTTTGGTCATCCTGAAGCAGCTCCTCCATCCGGATGCACCGGCCTTCAGGGGAGCTCCCTGCTCCCCATGGTCGGGCTGGAAATCTCCGCCATAGGCGGTGGCATGTGCAATGTGCAACTTTGCAGGTGGCGCAATGGAACGAGGTAATGGTGCTGTTGCGGCAGGGGGTGGTGGTGGCCCAAGTGGGCCGAAGCGGCAGTAGCGATGGCTGGAAGGTATGGGAGTGAAGCGCTACTTGCATTTGTGCGGCATCAGATTCCACCTTCACCGTGGTATATTTGCGCCAGCTGGTGGTGCCAAGGCAGCCCTTGTCTCCTCCTGCTTGGGGCTTGGAGTGATAAACCGCGTCTGGGAAGTACTAAGCAGAGAGAGGCAGCCAGAGTCAACCTTAGCTTTGCTGGCCATTGCAGACACTAGATCGGCCCTCTGCAAACTCTCGTCTCTCGAACAGCCTGGCCAAAATTACTTCTGCTGCTTCAGGGAGCGCTCCTCGAGAGACGAGAGTTTGCAGAGGGCCGATCTAGCACCTGGGCTGGCTACAAGAGAAACGTTCACTCGGCCACATTTGAGACTTCTAGCTCCAATGGACAGGAAAGCTAGGGTTGACCCCAGGTGCTTCTCTGTGCTAACAGGCGGCCAAGCTAACTGACTGAAGGACTCCATACTGACTGGGAGTCAAAGCGCTGAAGCGCGAGCGGCTGGACTACCATCTGCCAGAAATGGTGTAGGGTCTCCAGCTTGGGTGGGGGGTTGGACTAGATGACCTACTAGGTCCCTTCCAAATCTGTTATTCTCTTGTTGTTAGGGAAAACATACCCCACCCCCAGTATATTTTCAGAAAATTTGGGTTGCTTCTCAACCACCTGCCAGAGAAATGGAATGTAAATACAGTAATCACTTTATTTATTGGAAAAAATAAAAGGGCAAACAGAAAAAAGGGGCAAATCTGAAGGAAGTTCACAAGGATTAAAAACGGGTGTGAAATGCTCCCAGTTCGGACCGGATTGGCCGATCCGGTAGCGATGGAGGCGGGTGATTCGAAGAACCGGTACCAAAAATCCCTGCCCCCCCACATGCCCAGCTGAGCCGCACAATCATCAGAGGTTTTTTTTTTTTAGTTTTAAAAGCATTTTTTCGACAAGCTCTTTGGCCAAAAAATGCTTTTAAAAGTAAAAAAAAAAAGCCTCTGCTGTTCAGGCAACTCAGCTGGGATCGTCAGAGCCTTTTGAAAGCATTTTTTACAACTCTTTGCCAAAGAGGTTGTAGAAAAAATGGTTTTAAAAGTAAAAAAAAAAAAATTGGCCACGCCCACCATCACATTACCCCCCCAAGCCACGCCCACAGAACTGGTAGTAACAAATATTAGATTTCACCACTGATTAAAAATAGCAATATTTTTTTATATCTTTGTTTTACAGAGGAAAATTCAAGAACAAAATAATTAAATAATTAAATCTAAAGGATTGCTATCCTTTATAACAAAGGGTGTATGTTCACTACAATTATAAGTATTATCTACAGTGCTTTCAGAACATATTCAAAGCCCCTTCACTTTTGTTACGCTTCAGCCTGATTCTAGATTCATTTTCTCCTCATTAATCTACATTCAGTACCCTGTAATGACAAAGCGCAAAGAGCATTTTAGAAATGTCTGTAAATTTATCAGGCGGAAAAACTGAAATATCACAACTTGGTGGCAGCCATCCGGGCTGGGACACGGTCAGCCTTAGATCCGTGGGGCTGCCCTGGAGCCAGTGAGGGGGCATTTGCTGCCCCGCCCTCTGGGTGTGCCTGGTGACTGTCTTGCCCCTCAGGCTGATTGTGTTCTGAGCGCTTCCCTTTCACCCAGGACTCCAGCTCCTGTGCGTTCATCACTTCCTGTGCGCACACCCAGGGGATAGGCCTGAAGTGGCAGGGGCAGCGCCTCACTGGCTCCAGGGCAACCCCACGGATCTAAGGCTGACCCATTCCAGCCCAGATGGCCACCACCAAGTTGTAGATCAGTACTGTCCCAGCCTTGCAGCATGCAAGTGCTTACCTTTTACCAGGACCAACCACAAATGGAAAAGCCACGGCCACTGGTGGCAGTCACCAGCAGTGCTGCCATTTTCTCCCCCTCCCCTTGTCCCTCCCTGAGCATGAAGGAAGCAAGGAAGGAAGGGGATAGGAACGAGAAGCAGGGAAGGAAGGAAAGTAGGAAGGAAGGAGAGGGAAGGAGGGTCTGAAGGAAGTCCTGTGTTAGAACTTGGGCACCAGCACTTGCTGCCTTTTCGCCATCCCCTCCCCGTGGCCTTCTGATGGTCTCCCATCCTCTCGCTGAGGATGCCTAGGTTACAAAGCTGGGTCTCCTCTCAGGGAGAGGGAATGGGCCTCCTTCTGATCCACATTTTGCCCTCCCACACCCACCATGAGCAACCTGGCTAAGGAGAGCGAGCACAGCAGCAGCAGCAGGAGTTAAGAATGGCAGTCTACAAACACAGTAAGGATGGAGGGATATTGACACTGCCTCCTTTACCCCCAAGATGTAATTTGAACAGGGACTCCTACTTGTGTTTGTTCATATTCACAGCTAGTCTTTCAAACTTTCAAACCAAAGAGGCTTGGTAGTACAGTGGTAGTAAAGCACCCTGTTATTAACACCAGCTGCCTGCAATTACTGCAAGTTTGAATCTCACCAGGCTCAAGGTTGACTCAGCCTTCCATCCTTTCTAAGGTAGGTAAATTGAGGACCCAGTTTGTGGGGGCAATAAGATGACTTTGTATAAATATACAAAAGTATGAAGGCTATTGCTTAGCGCATTGTAAGCCGCCCTGAGTCTCCGGAGAAAGGCAGCATATAAATCAAATTTAAAAAAAACAAAACCCTTCAAACTGACATTATAATTTCTTTATCTAATACCTACCTTCAATAAAATCAATGCCTAACAATATATAGTTCAGATTTACTGAGCAGAGACAATTGGACAAAAAATATCAAAAAATTAGTAGATTGAGGTCAGTGGTGATTCGTATGTAAACAATTCTGCATTTACTGAATGATAAGAAAAGTTATACCATAATTCCTCATAAGGTACCATGTTCCTCCAAAAACACGACCACCCCAATAATAATCCCAACCCTATTTTTTGGGGCAGGGGCCTAATATTACCCTTACCCTGAAAATAAGCCAGCAGGAGTGGCCAGCAGGAGTGGCGGCGCGGGTGGGGGGGATTGTCCGGCTGCAGCTGCAGCCCAATGGCCCCTTGGGGCAGCGCAAATACCACTTTTGCCCTTCTCTTTCTGGGTGCAGTGCTTCTACTTGTTGGGCCGCTTCCCTGAAGCCGGCACCTTCGCGGCCAGCCCCTTTGCTTTTCCCCTCTTATTGGGAGGCTCGTGGGATGTATTTTGGCGAATGGGAAGAAAATTGAGGGGGAGGGATTTTCCTGCCTGTCATCCATTCCTCAAGCTCAGCACAGACTGAGGAAAGGATGGCAGGCAGGAGAATTTTCCTCCTCCCATTTTCCTCCTGTTCGCCAAAAAGCCTCCATTCCGAACACTGAAGGTTTGGAATGGAGGCAAC